TATATATATATATATATATATATATATATACAGTAAAATCCCGTTAAGTTGGACTCTCAATGAACAGATAAACAGCATCCCTTTCTTTTTAAAAAGTATAAAGAGGATGTGTGATAAACAATTAAAAACTTTATTATAAAGAACGAGAGATCTCTCTAAAGGTAAATGATATCAGTAAGAGTAAAAAAAAAAAAATATATGAAAACAGCGGGATGTGAACCTGGGTCTACGCGGCCGGATGTCTTAACTGATTGAGCTATACGTTTATTCAACTAAGTGAATAGGAATATTTATTTGATATATAATAAAAAAACTATATAAAACAGAATTCACAGAAAGAGATACGTATGCAAATAGGATTCTATATATCAGGAATATGAATAGTAATGTGAACCTTTACCCAGCAAACAATAGACGTCTTTTAGACCGTCTAAAATTGGTCTAATTTGTATCTATTGCCGATACATATATTTTAGACGTATATTAGAGATCAAAAAGACGTCTGGATCTAGAGATACTATTTTTGCTCTGTTTTAGATGCATATTAGATGCATAAAATAGATCGCGCATAGATAATTTTTTTTTCATCTAAACTTAGATGTCTATTAGATGTCTTATATAGATTTGTTATAAAAACAAGAAAAAAATATAACTAATTTTACGGAGCGACAATTATAAATGACCGCCATTTAAAAACCATGCTTAAACTTATTACGAAAAAAGCATGAAGATTTTAACCTATGGAAAACATTAATGATTATTTCTTTTGATAAATTTTAAATAATAAAATAACATGCTATTATAGTTCACAAAATATTTCGATGATTTGATGCTTAGGGGTCGTCCATAAAGTATGTCACGCTATTTTTTTCAATTTTCAACCCCCTCCCCCCCTCCTGTCACAAACTGTCACATATTTCTGCACCCCCCCCCCTAAAAAAGTATGTCACATGTTTCTCCCCCCCCCCCCCTCCCTCTAAAAAAAAAAACAAACCATTACGGAATTTTCAACATTCTAAAAACATAGTAATAGCTATTTAACAGAATAAAAAAGACTCAATTTAACTAATTTGAAATACCTTCTTAATTTATTGGGAAAGATTGTCATCATAAAATAAAATAAAAATAGTTTTTTTATTTGAACCTTATGTTTTTCAAATTACAAATTAAACTTTTACTTTATCTACCCATTTATTATTATCCATCCACGGAGATTTGAAGTGTTCGTCTATAGTTAGGACAGGCATTTCTGATGTTTTTTCTAAATCTTCATCTGAAATGACAATTCCCGAAACATCAACTTCGTCTTCATCCAGCCACTCTATATCTTCATTTTTTTCTCGAGCAATAACTACCATCAGCTCTCTTTGTCTTCTAGCGGCTACTCTTATTGGTCTGATACGCTTTGTTTGAGTTTTCTCAAGAACAGTATTTCCTTTATCGCAATTTTTGTGCAATTCAACATGTTTTTTCAAGATAGCTTGAGAAGCAAAATAGAGATGGCAAACTTTGCATATTCGATTCAATAGACAAGTCTGTACTGATGGACAAAAGAGATCATAAGGATGAACTTGGAAACTTCCTGCCGATCTGGCCATTATATCATCTATTTTAATACTATGTGAAACAAAAAGTGATGGATACTTATGAGACTCACTGTCTCCTCTTTTGTCAGCTTGAAGACCATTACTTGTTTGAATAACTGGAATTGGAGGACATAAAAATCGCGAAGGAACAACATTGAAATATGAGCTTCTTATTTTAAAGCAACATTTTACATCTTGACATTTAACAATTTGAGTAAAGTATTGACTTGTGCGGACGTGTTCAGAAAACCATTTTATATCTTTAATTATCAATTCTTCTGCATCTAGCTCAGATGTCTCTGGATCAATAAACTCGGCAACTGTTGGAAACTGGTCAATAATAACTTGTGACCATATTTCAGCCAATGTTTGTCCAGCATACTTGAAATTTCTTCTCTCCAAATAATCATCTATTGTTCTGCCCTGTGAATCGAGATGGCTACCATAGCGTTCATGAGGCAATATAACACCAGAAAGTTCTCTGCTCAGTGGAGCCATTCGACGTTCCACTCTATTGAAAGCACTTCTACCTGGCGCGTTGGTTGCAATAAATAAGACGTCTAGATTATTTTTTACAAAATGGTGGATAGCAACATCTATGACTTTTTGATAACGTGGATTTTCATCTGGTCCTCCATCCACCGTGAAGACAACAATAGGCTTTATTATCTTATTTCTGCCGTCTTTTGTTATTGCATCAAATTCGTCTAATTGTAACAATCTCTCAAAATCTAAACCATGAGCAAGAGCAGAAGAAGACGAATGTTTGCCTGATCGGATTGCAATATAAGTTGGACCTGAATACGTAACAGCGTCTGGTTTACCAAGTCCATCTTTCTTGATGCAAATTCCAGCATATACTGATGGAATAAGCTTATGTCTTGCTGCAACAACCCAATCGTGGTCTGGCAAATTGATGCGATATTCAACATGCATAAGCAATGGAGCTTGTTTGATTGCAGCTGTTAACCCAATAGGGGACTCGCGCTTTGTCATCTTGGCTAATAAAACAGACTTCTTTTGGTCCCAGTATAGACGACAACTCTTCCAGGTGTCTCAAGGTTGCTGTACAGAACTTTCCATCGATGTGCTTTGAGTGTGACTCATTCTGAGATCGGATCAATTTGACTGGCACTGTTGATATGTGTCTTTTTCCTTCCAAAGTTGAACTTCGTCGTGGCATTAGCCGAGTGTAAACGGTGCTCCTACTCACCTGATAACCATCTTTATTTAGTTGCTTAGTCAATTCATCTAGTGTTTTAATACTGCGATACATATCACTTTGTCGTCTTTCATGTGCAGCTGATCCATGTAAAGCAATATCAACAATGGCTTTCAGGAAAAGTGGTTGATTAATTTCAACAGAAGGTCGACCTGTTTTATCTTTTGCTTTCAAAGCATCACAAACTCTAGGGTTCTCTGCGCAAATTTTAGCGAGAGTTTCTCTTTTTTTTGCTCTAGTTTTTTTCTGTCTTGCTTGTTCTTTCTTTTTTTTTAACAAACTTTTCTCCAACATATCTACTTTTCTTCTTTTCTCAATAAGCTCTGCTTCTTGATCATTTGTAATAATACCACTGTCTTTTCTTTTATGTAGTCCAACTAAATCACTCTTGATAACATCAATTTTAACTTTTAGTTCATCTTGAACTTTTTGTTTTATATTTTCCTACATTTTCAGAACCAGACGTTGATGAAGTTATCATAGAACATTCACAAGAAGAAGCTTTACATTTATTACCCCCCTACAACAGTATCTGGTAATTTTGCTAGAACATCCGGAGCCGATGATTTACGTGGTATAGTTTTCGCATCATCATGTCGTAATGATTGATTTGCCCAGAAACTCATCAGTGTACCTTTTTTCTTTTTAAACAGAGCATCATATTCTCTTAACAGGGAGTCTACTTTTGCAGAAAGATTATCTTCAGATTTCACCTTACTCCAAATATCATTAACTTCCTTTTTGACAATCTTGTTTCCTCTTCTGTGAATATGCCTTAACATAGGCATCATAAAGTGATGCGTATAACTGTCCTTTGTCCATCTTTATATTATGAATTGCCTGAAACACATTTGCACTCATTTAGAGAAATTAAAATATTGTATTTATGCCATAATATCAATTACTACTAACTTAGTTATACTGAGCGCTAACTAGCTTCTATCCTATTTACACTATTATTTGATAATAATCTTTGTTTGCTATTGGCTATTCAAAGCATGAGCAAGTCTATTTAACTTAGTTATTATATATTATATATTTAAGTAGTCATATATTCTTGCTTAAATGTAAATATAACTAAAACTCTTATGTTTATATACTGCCATAAGATTCAAAAAAATCAATAATATAAAAGATAATATTTTAAAAATGTTTTATTTACTTATTTAAACTCTCTATTTAAAATTCCAAACTTAAATTATACGTTCTTAATTTAATGATTTTGCATTGCTGCGCTTTAATGTCTTCAGAAACGTGAAGGCAGTTTTTTGCGAACTTTTTAAACTATTCAAAACTATTTAAAATACGGCGATACGCAAAACATAAGAAGTGTAAGTAAAATTTTAGGCAATCGGAAATAATCTTTCAATTGAATGAGTAAATAAGTAGAAAACAATCATGATAAATAATTTTTGTGATGTCACATTCGTCAAACTCCCCCCTCCCCCCTTGTCACAAATTGTCACAAACTTATGCCTCCCCCCCCCCCCCTAGTAGCGTGACGTACTTTATGGATGACCCCTTAGCATGTTCGCTAAAATCCTTGTGATTTAAAATTTATTTTGCAGAAATATTACAAAATTAATATTTTCAAGTTGATATTTTTATTTCTAGAATAAAAGATAATGTAATTAAAATATATATATATATATATATATATGTATATATATATATATATATATATATATATATATATATATATATATATATATATATATATATATATATACGAATATTATATATATATATATGAATATTATATATATATAATATATATATATATATATATATATATATATATATATATATATATATATATATATATATATATATATATATATATATGTATATATATATATATATATATATATATATATATATATATATATATATATATATATATTATATATATATATATATATATATATATGTATATATATATATATATATATATATATATATATATATATATATATATATATATATATATATATGTATATATATATATATATATATATATATATATATATATATTTTATATATATATATATATATATATATATATATATATATATATATATATATATATATATATATATATATATATATATATATATATATACTCATATATGAATCTTGGTTTCTCGATAAAAACGATAAGTGCACAACCAATAAAACAATCTTTTGTGTTATGGAAAAACACTCATAATATGAGTGTTTTTTAATAACACAAAAGATTGTTTTATTGGTTGTGCACTTATTGTTTTTATCGAGAAACCAAGATTCATTTAAGTCTTTTACAAAAAGGGCATACGAAAAGAGACGCAGTAGACGTGTCCAAAAAGAATATTAAAAAATACTAGAATTTTCATCAGTACATATGGAAAAAAAATCGAATGTTGGTACTTCTAAAAGAAATGATTTCTTATCTTGCGAAAATCTAAAAGAATATTTTGACCATCATGAGTCAGCGATTTTGTACAATAAATACTCTTATGACCAAAAGCCTAATGAGTATAAGCATAACCCAACTTTAAAGGAAAGTTTTTCTGCATGTTTTTCTAACCAAGTAATTATGCACTAAACAAGTGGATTGACAAAGAATACCAACAAATTTATTGTCCCAAAAAAAAATTATAATCATGCACTGAAAAACAACCTTTTGTCAACAAAAGAATGGCACAAATTTCCATTGATAAAGTGTAAGATAACAGATAGTCAGTATCTAACTTGTGGTGTATTTTTTTTAAAGGTAACTTAATTACTTTTTTGTAGCAAAATGTTTTATAATTAGATTCATTTTCATGTTGTGAAGAATACAACTTTCTACATCAGATGAGATATATGTTAAAGAAAGCATTAAAAATAAGAATAATAAATCATACCGCTCTTCATTGCCAGAACCTCCGCCACCTATTATGAATAAGCCCAATGCTAAAAGTATAACATAAATATCATAATTTTTTCTTAATGGTTTATAAACTGAAATAGATTCTTGTTTAATTTGATCTGAATAATATCTATCTAGCTATTAGTCTTTTTTATCTATTACTAAGATTTTTCTTTTATTTTAACTATTTGGGTGTCCTATTATATGTAATGTTGTTAAGTTGGTTACATATATTTATATCATTGACAGCATTTTATTGTATTAAATAATCCTTTAATCAACTTGATATGAAAATTGAAAACTGATTGAAAGCATGCTGAAGTTGTTTGAATTCAGAAATTGAAAGAGTACAAAATTGGTTGAAAGATTAAATTAAGTAACAGGTATGGTTGAGGGATTATTTATAGTTCTAATTATAATTATTTCTTTTAAATAGAGTTGTTATCAGGTTCAACGATTGAAGAAGATAATTTTTCTTCACATTTTATTGATGAACACCAAGCAAAGTTCACATTGTCAAAGAGTTTTAAGTTTTAATGTGAGTAATTTTGGTTTTTACACCACTGAATGTTAATGTGGAGGTCTTTTTTATCAATTTCTTTTTGTATTAAAATAATTGTAAAAGATAGGTATAAAAGAATAGAAATGGATTATTTATAATATTGTGATCCGATAAATCATGTGTGTAGCATTTTATCTTTAGTAGTTTTTTTAGTAAGAATTTTAACTACTACTTTTAGTAGTAGTTAAAATTCTTTAATATCGTAGCCTTTTACAGGATAAAGTTTTAACTGATTTAAAAAGTAGGTTTTCCAAAATATTATGGCAACTTCTGCGATGGAGTAATAAAAAAACTTACATGTGTTTTTGGCATTTTAGTTTAAGTTACTCAAGCATAATTTTAATTTTAAAGTTCTTATTTCATTGTTTTGCTATTTGGTTTTATGAGCTAAATATGTTAATCAATCTTTTTATTCTTGTTTGTAGAGATGCAAAATGTTATTCTCAAGGAGCTTGCAGAAATAAAAGTTCTTTTAAAAGAAGTTATAGAAATTAAGTTTCAGGCTACTGGGGTGAAGTTGCTAGAATCGGTGGACGAAGTGGTTACACTGGATAATAAACTAAAAGATAAAACCGAGTATACTAATTTGGTATAATCTAATTATCTTAGTTTTTAATAAGTTTGTTTAAATTTGGTTTATTAGTTTAGAATCTAAATAAAAAGTATTTGTAAATGAACTAAAATAACTAGCTTGTGTTAGACTCAATATGTTGTAAAGAAATTTAAGTTACATTAGTTTTTATTACATTTATTTCAGCTTGATAGTTTAAAAAAGATTGGTGGTGAAAAGCCAAGAGAACATGTTTTTTTGATCATGTAAAGGTAAATGATTATGTTTTTATTAATTATTAGAAATATGATTAAAAGGGACCAAAAGCAATTCTTTTTGACCGTTATTTGTTATGGATTTACTTTTAACATGACAATTTGATAAACTCAGGAAGTTCGCTGTAGGTGTTTAAGTTTGTTTGTGTGCTAAAGTAAGTGTAATGCTAAACCTTGTTTAGCATTTTATTTTCAAATTTAATGCTTTTACCTTTCATAATTTTAAGCATTCATATATTAAAATATATTTTAATTTATTACATATATTAAAATAAAAATCTTTATATATTTCACTTTATTGTTAAAATATTTATCAGGTTATTTTCGAATCAGTTACAGTCCAAATTAAATCGAAAAGAAAATGGGGAAAAGATAAGCTTAGAAAATCTAGTAAATATATGGAGTATTTACGAGGTATAGTTTTAATAGTATTTACAAAACTGATATCTGTATTAAAAAGATATTCTTCGACTTTTTTGTGTCATGCTAGAATTTTTGTATCCATAATATAAGTTCCTTTAGTTTTTTCATAAAAAAATTGTTGTTTATTATTGTATCTGGTTGAGATACAAATATTCTTGTATATATATATATATATATATATATATATATATATATATATATATATATATATATATATATATATATATATATATATATATATATATACATGTATATATGTGTATATACAGTATTGGACAAAACATTTGCAACCAACATCGAACAATGCTAAAAAGTGTTCCTAATTTTATATGTCTTAAAAATGAAACGAACTATACTACCACAGCAAACAGTTCAGGAGTTTGGACTCATAGCATGCCATGATATGAGCAATCAGCTGACAGGTGACAGCACACAGGCAGAATTTCGTTGACAAGTGCCATTTTGCAGCATACATCACGGAAGTTTTTTAATAATTAAAGGAACTATCCAGAAGTTTCCAGTAGCATGCAGAAGCTTCCAGAAGTTTCCAGAGGAAGCATCAGGAAGCATCCAAAAGAATCCAGAAACATTCAGAAGCATTCAGATGCATCCAGAAGCTTCCAGAGGTATTGAAAAGAAGCATCTAGAATCTTCCAGAACAGGTTTACACAGGTTCATTTTACTATATAAGAGACAAGTAATTCAGTCATTATATGGAAGTCAATCAGTCAGTATTATCAAGACAGTTTATCGAAGTGAGTTTTATCAAAGTGTTTTATCGAAGAACATCAATACCAGAAGTGAAATACAACAAGTGTTTCATTACATCAATACAGTCCACATCCAACCAAGACGTTATGTTCTGCAGAGCCATATTTTATCATCACAAGGTAAATGTAACACGGTAAGCCTTGAGAAGTGTGGTTATTTATTTTTATTATTTTTATGACTTCAATGCAAAAATGTTTCCCGACAGTCTTGGATGACAAGTGCAAAAATGGTTCCCGACAGTCTTGGATTGGAACTAAGAGAGAAAATTATTTGCAATTACTTAAGTGGAATATCACAAAAAAATATTTGTGATAAATATGGTGTGAAAAAATAGATCGTATCAAGACTATGTTCCAAATATTGTTCCACAGGGAAGTTGGCAGCAGATAACAATGGTGGAAGACCTCGTTCCACCATTTCTAATGAGAATTCTATGATCGTCAGATCTGTCAAGAAGGATCCCTGGATATCATCAGTTAAGATACAAAAGCAATTAGAGCTGCTTGTACGTCAAGCGGCCGGAAAACGCCTTAATTAACGTTACTGCCTTAAGACTGTATGCAATGGTGGAGGCAATGTAATGGTCTGGGGGTGTTTTTCTACTAACGGTCTAGGTCCAATACATCGAATCGATGGAATAATGGACCGTTTCATTTATAAAAATATCCTGAAAGATGTTATGTTACCTCATGCTGAATGGAATATACCAATAAAATGGGTTTTTCAGGAAGACAACGATCCCAAACACACTGCAAAAGTAGTCAAGCAGTGGTTTCAAGACAACCATCTATTGGTGATGGCTTCGCCGCCTCAATCTCCGGATCTCAACCCTATCGAGAACATGTGGGAGATTGTCAACTGCAGAGTAAATCATGAATGTGTTCGTAATAAAGATCAACTGTTTGAACAAATCCAAAAGGCCTAGGCAGCGATTCCACAAAGTTTTATTGATCACCTGATCGAATCTATGCCTTTAAGATGCAAGGCTGTGATCGACTAAAAAGGATTCACCACAAAATATTGATATGAATACAGCTTGGTCAACATTTTGTGGAGTTGCACTTGTTTTGTCCTGAAGGAAATCAACTTTTTTTAATACTTTTGATTAATTTATTAATTTTCGTGTACAAATAATGAACTTCGTGATGAATAAAATTTGAAGAACGTTGTCTCTAAACAGTTACATAGTTATTTCTCTAAATTGAAAAAATACAGCACTTTTATACAAAGAAACTAAATTAGCATCATTTGATTGCACTGGTTTTGTCCGATACTGTATGTGTATATATATATATATATATATATATATATATATATATATATATATATATATATATATATATATATATATATATATATATATATATATATATATATAATATTTCATAAAAATAGATTCAGAATTCTACATTCTTTTAAATTCATTTAAATGTCATTAATGTATATATTTTAGATATCGGCGACGTAGAAGAAAATATTGACGGCAATGCAGAAATATAGTTTCTTATGTATATTTTTGTGAAATAAAAATTAAGTAATGTTAGTTAAAATGTTTCTTTACTTATTTAATTTAATCCTTTTTTATGACTAATTTAACAGCTGTAACACCTTTGTATCAAACAAGTTCCAGCAAAGAAAGAGATATCTAAAATGCATCTAATATGCATCTAAAAACTGGTCTTAAAGACGTCTAAATTCACGTCGTGAACGGGACATAAATAGCTGTCTATCTTATAGATGTCTTTTAGATGCATTTTATTCGACACAAATAAATGCCTTAGATGCATAAAAGATGTGAAATATACATTTAAAGATGTATATTAGATGTATATTAAATGCATAAAAGAGCTATTATTAACTAAAAAATTATCTATTTTCTATCTTTTTTAAACGCGCCTTAGACATCTATTTAAGAGACGTATTTTATACATCTAATATGCATCTGAAAGATGTATATTTCACATCTTTTATGCATCTAAGGCAATTATTTGTGTCGAATAAAATGCATCTAAAAGACGTCTATAAGATAGACGTCTATTTATGTCTCGTTCTAGACCTGAATTTAGACATCTATTAGATCAGTTTTTAGATGCATATTAGATGCATTTTAGATATCTTTTTGTTTGCTGGGTAGATGCTTATAATTAATATCTGGACTCAAAAACTAGTTACTTTTAATGGAACACAATAGGCTGTCGGAGCCTCAGGGAAATTATATTCAGAAATGACTATATTAGACTCAGAGTTAGCTAGAAATTATTACAAATTGTTTAGGACAGATGTCTAGTACAAAAAGCAAAAGATTTAAAGCAAAATGATTTATATTATTTGAAAAAGTTGTTTTACGTACATTTCATCATAATTTAAGTAGAACTTAGTAAAGCCCAAGGGAAACGTGTTGAATTAAACACAATGAACTCAATCTTAAAAGAATAACAAACAGAAGAGAGGTTGTCACTATTGTGAAGGTGACTAAAGATCTGTAATATAGAAGATGGAGGTCAAAAAATGCTATCTTAAGTAAAAAGAGTTTGATGAACAAAAGTTACAATGGCTGCGGGATGCGAACCCGGATCTCTGCGGCGAATTGTCACGTATCTAACTGATTGAACTATACAATCTTATACTTAAATTTATATCTTATTAAAATTAAAAAACAATATTTTCTAAGATCTATACTTCGAAAAGCGTATTCAAACAGGACTCTACATACCTTTAAAATCTGCTAGAACTTTAGTAACGTGCACACTTTTAGAAATTATTGAAATAGGTATATTTTATCAGAAATATGCTTAAGCTAAAGCATATTTGTGAGCCTCTTTTTACTATTTGCTTAAGCATATTCGAACCTGATTCAAAAATTTCATATGCTTTAAAAAAAAAAAACATGTATATTCCTATCCATCATTCTTATTTTTAATATACGTAATGAGTTCAAAAAACATCGTTGTATATATTTATTATGGTACGTTTCGTAAGTTTGTTTCCGTTAAGAATTCTTTCGTATGTTGTGATCCGAAATACATTCGTTTCGAAAGAAATTTTTTTTTTATCAATATTTCTAAAAATAAAACCATAAAAATTTAATAGTTATTATACTGAGTTATAAAAATTCATTATAAACATTTTGGGATTTAAAGATGTTAATTTTTACAATTAAAATCAGTCTGGCAAACAAATTTTCTTTATAGACTTCAAAACGTCGTTGGGCGAAAATGTTTGTTTCGCAAGTGCGACTTCCGAAACCGCTACTTTCGTATGTTGCAAAATAGTTTTGTTTCGTATGTCAACTTGCAAAATGCTAAATTTCGGAAGTGGCTTTTGCGAAATAAACATTAGCGATTTTAAATGTTTTGTAACATTCGGTACGAAAAAATGTAATTCCGCGTTCATTAGGAATTTTTAACGATCTTTCAAAATCATTTGATAATGTCAGTCATGATATTTTGTTTTATAAACATAATTTTTACGGAATAAATGAAAGAGTAATTAAATAATTTTAAAGTTATCGAACAGAAAACAATTTGTTTCTTGTAATGAACTTAATCATAAACAGTTTTTAAACGTTTCTTGTGGTGTTCCGCAAGGTTCCATATTAGGACATTTTTTGTTTCTAATATATATCAACGACTTGCATAAAGCATAAAATCTTCTAAGTATTATGTTTGCTGATGACACAAACTTGTTTCTCTCTAACAGTGACATCTATCTACTTTTCTCCATGATGAACAAAGAACTTAAAAACATATCTAAATAGTTTAAAAGTAACAAAATAACATTAAATATAAGCAAAACAAAATGGATTTTTTTTCAAGTTTAACTTGAGGAATAATATATTTTGCCTAACATCGACTTACCCTAAATTATTCTGTTTTTAAAATTTAATTAAAAGACCTCGTTCTTTCTATTGGAAACATCTTTAAATTTTATTTTATTTTAACTTGAGATTAAAAAAAAAAAAAAAAAATTTATTGTCATGTATGTTTCAAGTTTTGCTTTATACTTGTTTACAACTTATTTTCATTTATCTAAGTACGATTTATTGTTTTTATATGATTTTTTACGTACTCTTATTGTAAAAAGGCGTTTTAATGATATTTTACGCGCTCTCTTTTGTAAAAGGCTTCTGACGATAAGATCATTGTAATCTTCTTTTAGAGGCCTTTTTTGTATTTGAAAAAATATGTAACTTATATATATTTTGTCAAATGTAAACAAACAAACAAACAAAAAAAAAAAACTGTTACACTTTGCTGCGATTTATGTCGGAAAATCTATTTGTAAATTCCGGGTAAATACAAGAAACTTATTCTGAGATTAATACTTATTGGTTCAGGATGCTGTAACTTAAATAAAATTATATGAACAAAATTTGTTTTTTGATCGATATTATGAAAATATAACGATTGGAATGTAGTAAAGTCAAAGTCTATGTACTTAACTGAAGTCTTTTGTACTTAGAGTTTATAGTTTTGTTTATTTTTAACTATTTGGGTTGATTTTTATTATACTTTTTTCAACTTTTATTTTATTTTAGCAATTATAGATTTTGTTATAAAAAGTTATGTTTTGTCAGTTGACTAGAAAAAAAAAGTCATCAAACTGACAGCATTTTTTGTATATTATCATAAATATATACCTTATTGTATAATTATGAAACTCAGAAGTAGATGTTAGAGTAATTTTAAAGTTTCTAACCGTATTTTACACTTTTAGATTTAAGAAAAATAAAAAAGCTAGGCAAAGAAGAGCAATAATTAATAAGCTACAGGCAATACTATCAATCAATCAATATATTCTTTTACTTTAATAACTGCATATAAATATATATATATATATATATATATATATATATATATATATATATATATATATATATATATATATATATATATATATATATATATACATATATATATATATATATATATATATATATATATGTACCCAGCAAGCAAAAAGATATCTAAAATGCATCTAATATGCATCTAAAAACTGGTCTAAAAGATGTCTAAATTCAGGTCTAGAACGAGACATAAATAGACGTCTATCTTATAGACGTCTTTTAGATGCATTTTATTCGACACAAATAATTGCCTTAGATGCATAAAAGATGTGAAATATACATCTTCCAGATGCATATTAGATGTATAAAATACGTCTCTTAAATAGATGTCTAAGGCGCGTTTAAAAAAGATAGATAATAGATAATTTTTTAGCTAATAGTAGCTCTTTTATGCATCTAATATACATCTAATATACATCTTTAAATGTATATTTCACATCTTTTATGCATCTAAGGCATTTATTTGTGTCGAATAAAATGCATCTAAAAGACGTCCATAAGATAGACGTCTATTTATGTCCCGTTCTAGACCTGAATTTAGACATCTTTTAGATGCATATTAGATATCTTTTTGCTTGATGGGACTTGTTTGATACAAAGGCGTTACAGCGGTTAAATTAGTCATAAAAAAGGATTAAATTAAATAAGTAAAGAAACATTTTAACTAACATTACTTAATTTTTATTTCACAAAAATATACATAAGAAACTATATTTCTTCATTGCCGTCAACATTTTCTTCCACGTCGCCGATATCTAAAATATATACATTAATGACATTTAAATGAGTTTAAAAGACGTAGAATTCTGAATCTATTTTTATGAAATTATATATATATATATATATATATATATATATATATATATATATATATATATATATATATATATATATATATATATATATACATACAGTATCGGACAAAACCAGTGCAACCAAATGATGCTAATTTAGTTTCTTTGTATAAAAGTGCTGCATTTTTTCAATTTAGAGAAATAACTATGTAACTGTTTAGAGACAACGTTCTTCAAATTTTATTCATCACAAAGTTCATTATTTGTACACGAAAATTAATAAATTAATCAAAAATATTAAAAAAAGTTGATTTCCTTCTGGACAAAACAAGTGCAACTCCACAAAATGTTGACCAAGCTGTATTTTGCTATCAATATTTTGTGGTGAACCCTTTGTTATCGATCACAGCATTGCATCTTTAAGGCATAGATTCGATCAGGTGATCAATGAAACTTTGTGGAATCGCTGCCTAGGCCTTTTGGATTTGTTCAAACAGTTCATCCTTATTACGAACACATTCATGATTAACTCTGCAGTTAACGATCTCCCACAGGTTCTCGATTGGGTTGAGATCCGGAGATTGAGGCGGATCAAGCAGTGGTTTCAAGACAACCATCTATTGGTGAATCCATCACCAATAGATGGTTGTCTTGAAACCACTGCTTGACTACTTTTGCAGTGTGTTTGGGATCGTTGTCTTGCTGAAAAACCCATTTTATTGGTATATTCCGTTCGGCATGAGGTAACATCTTTCAGGATATTTTTATACATGAAACGGTCCATTATTCCATCGATTCGATGTATTTGACCTAGACCGTTAGCAGAAAAACACCCCCAGACCATTACATTGCCTTCACCATGCTTCACGGTCTTATAGCAGTAACGTAAATCAAGGCGTTTTCCGGCTGCTTGACGTACAGACAGCTCTAATTGCTTTTGTATCTCAACTGATGATATCAAGGGATCCTTCTTGACAGATCTGACGATCATAGAATTCTCTCTAGAAGTGGTGGAACGAGGTCTTCCACCATTGTTATCTGCTGCCAACTTCCCTGTGGAACAATATTTGGAACATAGTCTTGATACGATCTATTTTTTCACGCGATATCACAAATACTTTTTTGTGGCATTCTACTTAAGTAATCGCAAATAATTTTCTCTCCAATCCAAGACTGTAGGGAACCATTTTTGCACTTGAAGTCATAAAAATAATAAAAATAAATAACCACACTTCTTAAGGCTTACCGTGTTACATTTACCTTGTGATGATAAAATATGGCTCTGTGGAACATAACGTCTTGGTTGGATGTGGACTGTATTGATGTAATGAAACACTTGTTGTATTTCACTTCTGGTATTGATGTTCTTTGATAAAACACTTTGATAAAACTCACTTTGATAAATTGTCTTGATAATACTGACTGATTGACTTTCATATACTGACTGAATTACATGTCTCTTATATACTAAATTGAACCTGTTCTGGAAGATTCTGTGTGAACCTGTTCTGGAAGATTCTAGATGCTTCTTTTCAATACTTCTGGAAGCTTCTGAATGCGTCTGAATGCTTCTGAATGTTTCTGGATACTTCTGGATGCTTCCAGATGCTTCCTGATGCTTCTTCTGGAAACATCTGGAAGCTTATGCATGCTTCTGGAAACTTCTAGATACTTTCTTTAATTATTAAAAAACTTCCGTGACGTTGACACGGACCAGACTTGAAAAAATGAAACAAACCAAAAAAGTTGCACTTGTTTTGTATGCTGCAAAATGGCACTTGTCAACAAAATTCTGCTTGTGTGCTGTCACCTGTCAGCTGATTGCTCATATCATGCCATGCTATGTCATTTCAGACTTCTGAACTGTTTGCTGTGGTAGTATAGTTCGTTTCATTTTTAAGACATAAAATTAGGAACACTTTTTAGCATTGTTCGATTTTGGTTGCAAATGTTTTGTCCAATACTATATATACACATATATACATGTATATATATATATATATATATATATATATATATATATATATATATATATATATATATATATATATATATATATATATATATATATATATATATATATATATATATATATATATAATATATATATATATATATATATATATATATATATATATATATATATATATATAAACAAGAAGATTTGTATCTCAACCAGATACAATAAACAAAAAATTTTTTATGAAAAAACTAAAGGAACTTGTATTATGGATACAAAAATTCTAGCATGACCCAAAAAAGTCGAAGAATATCTTTTTAATACAGATATCAGTTTTGTAAATACTATTAAAACTATATCTCGTATAACACTCCATATATTTACTAGATTTTCTTTGCTTATCTTTTCCCCATTTCCTTTTCGATTAAATTTGGACTGTAACTGATTTAAAAATAACTTGATAAATATTTTAACAATAAACTGAAATATATTTATAAAGATTTTTATTTTAATATAGGTAATAAATTAAAATATATTTCAATATATAAATGCTTAAAATTATGAAAAGTAAAAGCATTAAATTTGAAAATAAAATGCTAAACAAGGTTTAGCATTACAGTTACTTTAGCACACAAACAAACTTAAACACCTACAGTGAAGCTCCCGAGTTTATCAAATTGTCATGTTAAAAGTATATCCATAACAAATAACGGTTAAAATAAATTGCTTTTGGTCCCTTTTAATCATATTTCTAATAATTAATAAAAACATAATCATTTACCTTTTCATGATCAAAAAAACATGTTCTCTTGGCTTTCCACCACCAATCTTTTTCAAACTATCAAGCTGAAATAAATGTAATAAAAACTAGTGTAACTTAAACTTCTTTACAACATATTGAGTCTAACACAAGCTAGTTATTTTAGTTCATTTACAAATACTTTTCATTTAGATTCTAAACTAGTAAACCAAATTTAAACAAACTTATTAAAAATTAAGATAATTAGATATTACCAAATTAGTATACTTGGTTTTATCTTTTAGTTTATTATCCAGTGTAACCACTTTGTCCACTGATTATAGCAACTTCACCCCAGTAGCCTGACACTTAATTTCTATAACTTCTTTTAAAAGAACTTTTATTTCTGTAAGCTCGTTGAGAATAACATTTTGCATCTCTACAAACTAAAATAAAAAGATTGATTAACATATTTAGCTCATAAAACCAAATAGCAAAACAATGAAATAAGAACTTTAAAATTAAAATTATGCTTGAGTAACTTAAACTAAAATTCCAAAAACACATGTAAGTTTTTTATTACTCCATCGCAGAAGTTGCCATAATATTTTGGAAAACCTACTTTTTAAATTAGCTAAAACTTTTTCCTGTAAAAATTTACGATATTAAAGAATTTTGTTTAACTACTAAAGGTAAAACGCTACACACATGATTTATCGGATCACAATATTATAAATAATCCATTTCTATTCTTTTATACCTATCTTTTACAATTATTTTAATACAAAAACAAATTAATAAAAAAGACCTCCACATTAACATTCAGTGGTGTAAAAACCAAAAATACACATATTAAAACTTGAAACTCTTTGACAATGTGAACTTTGCTTGGTTTTATTCTGTTCATCAATAAAATGTGAAGAAAATTATCTACTTCAATCTTTGAATCTGATAACAACTCTTTTCAAAAGAAATAATTATAATTAGAACTATAAATAATCCCGCAACCATACCTGTGACTTAATTTAATTTTATAACCAATTTTGTATTCTTTCAATTTCTGAATTTAAACAATTTCAGCATGCTTTCAATCAATTTTCAATTTTCATATCAAGTTGATTAAAGGATTATTTAATACAATAGAATGTTGTCAATTATATAAATATATATAACCAATTTAACAACATTACATATAATAGGACACCCAAATAGTTAAAATAAAAGGAAAATCTTAGTAATACATAAAAAAGACTAATAGCTAGATAGATATTATTCAGATCAAATTAAACAAGAATCTATTTCAGTTTATAAACCATTAAGAAAAAAATATGATATTTGTGTTGTACTTTTATCATTGGGCTTATTCATAATAGGTGGCAGAGGTTCTGGCAATGAAGAGCAGTATGATTTGCTATTCTTATTTTTAATTCTTTCTTTAACATATATCTCAACTGATGTAGAAAGTTGTATTCTTTACAACATGAAAATGAATCTAATTATAAAACATTTTGCTAAAAAAAAGTAATTAAGTTACCTTTAAAAAAAACTTAAAACAAGTTAGATACTGACTATCTGTTATCTTATACTTTATCAATGGAAATTTGTGCCATTCTTTTGTTGACGAAAGGTTGTTTTTCAGTGCATGGTTATAGTTTTTTTTTGGGACAATAAATTTGTTGCTATTCTGTTATTACAATAAATTTGTTGCTATTCTTATTTGTCAATCCACTTGTTTAGTGCATAATTACTTAATTAGAAAAACATGCAGAAAAACTTTCCTTTAAAGTTGGGTTATGCTTATACTCATGAGGCTTTTGGTTATAAGAGTATTGATTGTACAAAATCAATAACTCATGATGGTCAAAATATTCTTTTAGATTTTCGCAAGATAAGAAATCATTTTTTTTAGAAGTTCCAACATTCGATTTTTTTTTTATATGTACTGATGAAAATTCTAGTATTTTTTAATATTCTTTTTGGACACGTCTACTGCGTTTCTTTTCGTATGCCCTTTTTGTAAAAGACATAAATGAATCTTGGTTCATCGATAAAAACGATAAGTGCACAACCAATAAAGCAATCTTTTGTGTTATTGAACAACACTTTTGTAATATTTCTGCAAAATAAGTTTCAAATCACAAGGATTTTAGCAAACATGCAAAGCATCAAATCATCAAAATATTTTGTGAACTATATTAGCTAACTATATATAATTTATTTTGTGAACTATATTAGCTAACTATATATAATTTATCAAAAGAAATAATCATTGATGTCTTCCTTAGATTAAAATCTTCATGCTTTTTTCGAAATAAATTTCCGAAGGGTTTTTAAATGGCGGTCATTTATAATTATCGCTCCGTAAAATTAGTTATAATTTTTCTTGTTTTTATAACAAATCTATAAAAGACATCTTATAGACATCTAAGTTTAGATAAAAAAAAAATTATCTATGCACGATCTATTTTATGCATCTAATATGCATCTAAAACAGAGCAAAAATGGTATCTCTAGAATCAGACGTCTTTTCGATCTCTAATATACGTCTAAAATATACGTATCGGCAATAGATACAAATTAGACCAATTTTAGACGGTCTAAAAGGCGTCTATTGTTTGCTGGGTATATATATATATATATATATATATATATATATATATATATATATATATATATATATATATATATATATATATATATATATATATATATATATATAATTTAATTTTACTATCCTAAAAATAAATTAATAAACAACTTAAATATAAACAATGTTGTTTATTAATTTATTTTTAGGATAGTAAAATTAATTTTGCATGAACTGTTAGATTAGCCATTTGTGGCATTAAATATATTACAATTTAATAATTTATTGACAGAAATAAAGGATGAATCTAATTTTCATCTTGCCCCAGTGCCGGGATAGGATGATTTTGACCTTGGGGACCATTATATATTTCTATGTGAGATGAAAAATATTAGAAGTGGTGTTGAAGAAAATCAAGAAACGTGCCGAACGAAGTGGATTACTTGACTGTGACTTTAGTTTTTATTATTAAAATTTACAAAAAATTCTACGATGTTTTGTAATAAATAAAAATTATTATTATTGTTATTATTATTATTATTATCAATAAAATATTAATACTTATTAAATAGATAAACGAGTATAATAAAAATTTTGTCACGTCAAGTTCTATGCACTTTACATATGACTTAGAATATTTAGTACTTACATTTTATACTTTTGGTTTATTTTTTATTTGTTAAATTCATTTTTATTGCAAATTAAAAGTTTCTTTTTTTTCAGCTGACTGACTGAACAGTCATTAAGTTGACTGCGTTTTATGCGTATTAGCATAATTATAAATGTTTGTGTTTGTTGTTATATATTAATGTTCTTTGTATAGTATACTTTTTTATAACTGTTTTATATACCTTTTAAGGTTTCTAACTATATTTTAAACTTCTAAATATATAGATTTAGAATATAGCTTTATGATACTACTTATTAATACTTACAAGTAAGTGATACAGTATAAATATAATATAGCTTTATGATACAAGTAAGTGATACAGTATAAACAAAAACTTTGATGAAATTATTGGATTTAAATAAAGAAAACTCATTGACATCTAACTAGCAATAACCTACACCAATGAACATAGAACGTCATTTTATCAAACTAATCTAATTGAATAATTGATTTTAAAATGTACATACATATACGACAAAAATTATTAACATAATAGAAGTGTTATTTGAAACAAAGAAAAATGGATTACAAAGTGGATTATTTAATTTAATGTATATCATAAATCAGATGCCAGGTTTGAAAGATTTTACGATTTTGACACTAGATTGAATGGTATCAAACACTTACTTCGTATTATTGAGACGGATTACGAACATAGTACATATAATTTATTTGGGTTACAATTTTAGTTATTTTATTTGGGTTATTTTAGTTGGGTTACAACAATTAGTGTATTTAGGACGATATTTTGTCTGACTTTATTTTCCCGTGAACTTTAGGAAGTCAGACGAGAGAACTTTGGTTTTCAAGTTTATATATACGCAAAACGCATAATTATGCATTTTAAAATCCACCTCAGCAACTATGTTCCCGCGGCATTACTTGGGTGTTAGAAAAAATCAATGAAATATTGCGTAGCTTTAGAGATTTAGGGGTCGTTCATAAATTACGCAATGCGAAAAATGTTTTAAAAACAGAAGTATTATATACGATATAATATATACTAGCTTGATTGACCCGTAAAAATACGGGTCTTTGTAATTCTATTCCACACAAACCTTTTCCCTTATTTTCCTAATCTAGCTGTCCGTATCGGTAAATACAGGTCTTTTCTTCTACTTCTATATTTATTTATTCCACGCCAATTTTTTCTTTACTTGTTCCTTATTTACTTCAATATTTTTTAGTAAACGGTGGAAAAAAATTCATCAAAAAAATTTGCTTTGAGAGCAAAAAAAAACTTTAACATACGCACTTTTTCCGCATACCTATATAGCTTATTAAACCCCGTTTATTTATTTTTTTTAAAAAAAATTCTGAACTAAACTACTTTCTACATTTAGACCAGCCATGGACCATGGTTTATGGTCGCGTCCTAGCCATATTCAATAGTTTACTATATTTATTATTATTATATGCTTAGTTTTGAATAATAACGGTCTTTTATAGTTATCTTTGTATTAGACGCATTGTGTGGACCTAGGTTGTACTAAAAAACTACTGTTAACTTGGAAGGAAGGCCCGCTTCCTTTTCGATTGTCATCAGGGCAAATTACTTTATTAAGCACTTACTTATGTTCTTTAAAAGAATACATTCATATAGAATTTAATCGTAAACCAAGAAGTTTGAAAGATCTCAAGTTATGGAAAGCCTCTGAATTTAGAACCTTTCTTTTATATTGTGGACCAGTAGTTTTGAAATATATACTCAGCAAAGAAAAATACAACCACTTTCTTTGTTTAAGTGTAGCTTTTCGGATCTTATACAGCAAAGATTTGACGACTGAGTATAAAGGTTATGCTCAAGAGTTTCTTAGTAGCTTTGTGGACAACACCAGACTGCTCTACTCCGATCATCTATTAACTTATAATTTTCATTGTTTAAACCATTTAACTTTAACAGCAGAGAGATATGGTTGTTTAGATGGAGTGACAGCCTATCCATTTGAAAACAATATGTCAGCTATAAAAAGAATGATACGGGGTCCTTCTAAAGTAGTAGCTCAGATTGCTGGACGACTCACAGAAATAAACAATAACAGGTCAGCAGTCTGTAAAAATAAGCTAAATTTTAATCCAAAGATCAACGAATGCTATCGTCTGAAGAGCGGAAATTTTTGTGTCATTGACTCAATAAATAGTAATGCTAAAAGTGTTCTTGGTCAAGTCTATATCAGAACAGAAAACTTATTCAGCTCTCCTTGTAATTCTAAACTTGTTGGTATTTACAAGGTTAACAACAAGCATACAGAAATGTTGTATATACCTTTTGATGATTTTGTATCAAAGGCCATAAGAATACCGCTGTCTCTTTTTGAACCTGATAATCTAGCAGCAGCAGTTATTTTATCACTTGTGCACAGTTGAAATGCTCTACAAGTTAACTAACCATATTTGGTATTCGTTAGATGCTAAATGAGCTATAAAGTGCTTTAATGATTTTAAAAATGGAACATTCAACATTTGTAAATTTATTTGTAATTGAATTTTAATGCCTCTTTGTATTATTTTGATTTCAATTTTTTTGATAAGTCAATATTTATGCTTTTACTCGTTTACCTTGAATAAACTCAGTTACTTTATCCCCTTTAAAAGTTTACTATAATCCCTTACTTTACTACACCCGCTTTTTCAGGACCTATTTTTTATAAACTAAATTTTTGTACGAAATAGACAATTTCTTTTAATGAGCGAGTTTGCCCCCCCTCCCCCCGCCCTCCTCACTTTGAAAAAGTGTTTTTATAATCAAAATAATTATTAAGTAAATAATAGTAATGATATCAATACGTGATTTCATTTTGATATCATAAACTGCTCATTTTATATCAGGTTTTAAGTTCAGAATGATATCAATGATTGATTATTTTTTAATATCAAATTGGTATCATAAACTTCTCATGTTATAATATCAGCCTTTGATTTCAGAATGATATCAATGAGTGATTTCATTTTGATATCTTATTGATATCACAAACTTCTCATAGTATGATATCAGGTTTTGAGTTCAGAATGATTTCAACGAGTGATTTCATTTTGATATCATATTGATATCATATATTGATATCATAAATATCAAAGTTTGATATCATATTGATATCCGTATGATATCAAATTCGTGAATGGGTTATCAAAATGTACGACAGAATTAAAAATATTAATTTTTTATAATGAACACACTTGTTCATTATAAAAAAATATTAATTTTTTATAATGAACACATTCCAGCCGAATGAATATTATTAGTGCGCATAGTTACGCATTGTTACGCCTATTGTTCGTTTTGTTAATTACGGTTCTGCATTATGTAAAATACACTATTTCTTAATTTTTAAACTTTTCTAAGCGCAGTTATATATCCCTCGCGGGCTTTCGAGTAAAATCAGCAACCAAATTAGAGCTGATGCACTTATTTTCAAAAAGAATTGATGTTGTTTATTTTTTAAAATAAAAATTTAAATAATCGTTAGTTTGTTGTTGCTTATTTTTATTTTTTCTAATTTTTATACCCTGTTTTTATTTTTCAGAAGAAGTTAGAACTAAAATGTTTGGTAAAATAGTTTTTTTAGTAAAATGTTTCTCTTTTAGTAAACTGTTTCATTTTGTCGTTTTGGTAAAATATTTTTTTTAGTAAAATGTTTCTCTTTTAGTAAACTGTTTCATTTTGTCTTTTTAAAACATTTTAAGCAAGTATTCTTTTATTTTTTAGAGCAGTTAAGAGAAGCTGTTTTTTTAGTAAGTTCAATTCGTTTTCTTATTTATAGATAAAGATTGTTTTTTGCAAAAACATTTATATATAAAATAAAGTTTTATATATGTATTTAATATGAAAAGTTTAATAAATAAAGACTGTTATTTGTGTTAATGTAAGCTTATATACATAAGTTTGCGTTTATTTTAGTCTATTTTATATTTCTCTATATCTATACTATATGTATATTTTCTCTTAGCAAAAGTTAATGAGAATAGAAAAATAAAAAAAAATTCTTCTGGAATTTGTCAAAAGAATGTTGTATTATGCTTCATTTTAAGGTATCTAATTATGTATTTATTTTTCATTTTTTAGAAGAAGTTAGAACTAAATTGACTGGTAAATTAGTTTTATTAGCACAATGTTTCTTTTTT